GAAAAATCATGCCCGGCAGCAATGTAACGCTCACTTCTGCTTTCTTAAGATTTTTATGGAATAATGTTCTCTCAATTTTGATTTGCTTCCTTATTTTTAAATGCCAATGGTGGATATATAGCAAATTGTATATTTTAGAATAGACAGTGCCATCTATTCTGTCATATTTGATATGTAATGACTACATAATAGCTAGATTACAAAAGCAAGTCTACATTTTTATAAATAATCCGCCAATAACGAACTAGAGAGTAACAAGTTTGAAATTTTAATCTACGTGGAAAAAGGAATTTGATTGAACTAACTAAACAAAAAACGAATCAAAGGCAGGTTTTGGCTGAAGAAAACAATGTTGATTCGAACTACTTTCAAATTGATTTAACCAAGCTTTTTTCCGTGTAGCCTGTACTAGCTAGCTATTAACTTTTAATTCAGGTCAATTGAATACATTTTTATTCGGATAATTTGTCATTTAATAATCATCGAAAGGTTAATAATTCTATCTGCGTTAGAGAGATAAAGCAGGTGATATCTGACAGCAATTTTAAACCATAGATTAATCTGAATTTGGGAAAAGTCACTCTAAGCACGGAAAAAATAAAAGTTTAATCAAATTTATCTGAAATGAACAAATCAAACATGTTTTGGTTGAAGGAAACAGAATTTCTAGTCACAAGAACCCAAATTGACTTATAAGGACTAGAAATTCTATTTCCTTCAACCAAAACGCGTTTGGCTTGTCCATTTCAGATAAATTCAACCAAACTGCTTTTTCCAATGCGTGTAATGGGTGAGAGAGAAGTTATAAGGAGCGAGCGAAGTCTTGTTTCCATTCTCGAACCCGCGACTCGAGAGAGAGAGAAAGAGAGAAAGAGAGATAGTTCCGCTTGATCTATTTCCATTTAACCCGCGATTGACGCACTTTTGATTTTAGCACGACGGCCACGTTTTTATCGTTCATCACTTATGGTCGATGATTCGTCGAGTAACAGATAAAACTCTCTCTCTCTCTCTCTCTCTCTACACGCGCTTACTTATCATAATCTAAAACCTGTACTTACGATCTTGCCGATACATAACGATGAGTAGGGTCGCCAGCACGGGACGGCCGTGCCACCGGATCTGTTGGTTTTTGATTTGATAGTTCGCACATGGCGCGCATCGTCGGTATTATACGGCATGATAGATCATCTGTTTTAGCTGACACATAGACACAGTCATCGATCAATAACGCGCTATCGTTCCCGAGTCTATCGTTCATGTAATAGCGCGTGTTCGTCGCCAATCGATATAAGAGTCAAATGGAGCCTGGCTCGATAATTATTAACACACAAAAACCACGCAATAACTATAATTGTTAATAAATGATTACTAATTATACTTAATTATTATAAAATTATTAAGATTATTAGATTATTAATAGAAGAATTAGATTATAATAAGAATTATTAGATTATAATAGATATTTATGAATAGATAGTTTTGTGTATTTCCTTGTCCGAATCTCATGTTCAATGCAATATTTATAGAGCGAATTTATATGGATATTTATTTCTTTTCCACTTCTGTTTATATTGTTTCTCATACATTTATCTATTTTTATATTTTTTCTCGTTTATGATTTACATTTTCATTTATCTATTTTTATATTTTTTCTCTTTTATGATTATTTACATTTTTCTCATTTTTATTTATATTGCTTTCAATCACCTTCCATCTGTTCTCCGTGCGTCGTATTCAGAAGTATTTCTGACCGCTGGGAAAACCGCGTTCTTCTCACGCGCATTTTCGTCATTTAGCGCACATAATAATTGTTACATAATTTGGTATCATCGTCGGCATCGTCAGCCTGGCATTGCATCGTCTCCTCGTGATCCGCTTCTCGCGGAGATCCAACATGCGCACGGGTTCACCGGCTCGACGTGAAATTCACTGGATCATGGGTATCGTGACCCGCAGTAGTTCTTGAACCCCGAACAATAGATCGGTACTTGAGTAATCGCAGCCACAATGTCGCACGATCGCGGAGCTTAACATTGAACTGACGTCGTTTCGTCACGTCCGCGCGCGCGGTGGAATACGAACGACCAAATTGGACCCGGTTCAATTTTAACCCGAAGGTTACGAGTACGTGTAAAAAGACCGCCACCGTTGCCGCTATTTTGACGACACGTTAGAAATTGGTAAAAATTTTTGGTAATGGCAAAAACATCTTAAATTTAGATCGCCAGGCGGATATTAAGATCTTTTGTCCGAGATGAAATTTTTCCCATTGATATGTAAAAAAACGAGTACAGTCGGCGTCACATATGCCGTAACATTCCCTATATTGAGAGTTACTCGATTTTTAGCCTTATACGAATTCTATCAAATAAATACCGGGAATTGTTCATTTCAAAAGCCCGCGTAAAAGATATGAAAACAAATTTTTTGCTGTAAGTTGGTACCAATGTACCTAATTATTACGTAGAATTTTGGCGCCATCTGTCAACCAGTTTGTTTACAGCTGTTGGTTTTGTTAGTCGACCTCAAGTATACTCTGCGATTTTTAAAATGGATAAAAATATCGAACAAAGAGTTTGCCTCAAATTTTGTGTTGCCAACGAAATTGTGCTGAGTCGTTGAAAATGTTGGAGAAAGCCTATGGTGAGTCAGCTTTATCGGAAACATGAGCATACGAATGATACAAAGCATTCAAAAAAGGCAGACAAAATGGCAAAGTCATGTTGACTGTTTTCTTTGAATATCGTGATGTTGTCCACTCGGAATTCCTTCCGAAGGAACAAACAGTCAACAAACAATATTATCTGGGCGTTATGAGGCGTTTGAGAGAGAATGTTCACCGGAAAAGGCTAGATCTGTGGAAGAACAATTCTTGGATTTTGCACCACGATAATGCGCCGTCCCACACATCGACATTTGTACGCGAATTTTTTTATCAAAAACTCAACGAATGTCATCAACCAAGCACCGTATTCGCCAGATATGGCCCCGTGTGACTTTTTTCTGTTCCCCAAGCTCAAATTACTACTTCGTGAAAGACATTTTGAGTTCATTGAAGCCATAAAACAGAATTCGCAGAAGGAACTGCAGGCCATGCCGAAAAGTGCTTATAAGAAGTGTTTCGACGACTGGATTATTCGCTAGCATAAGTGTATCGCATCAAATGGGGCCTATTTTCAAGGCGATAAAATAAATTTGGATGATTAAACCAATATTTTGTGTTTTGTTGAACAATTCTCGATATTTATTTAACAGAATGTATGCATAAAATCGAAACCATTATAATTAGAATCATTATCACTAGAGTTATTTGTGCGGTTTTCAGTCTCGTACTCTCTAAATTACTCTCTAAATTATTTGAAATTTCACTCGAAAAATAGTGACCACCGAATTACTCATGTTTGAGTAATTTTTCACTCATATAGAGTGAATTATTCATTCTGAGATTTGATTGCATCGAACTTCAATTAAGTTAAACGATAATTGACTGACAGCAACTGTCCGATTGACATTTCTGTTGCACCGACTAAAATTTCTGTTGCAAGAGAAATTGAAAGAGATGAAATAAAAATTTCAGTTGCAACCCTAAAAATTAATCATCACTTAGCTTAATCAGTGTTTGAGCTTGAATCGTCTAGTGAATATCTTCACTCGAAATTGAAGAGTAAAAACGATATATTTTATCATCATAGGAATATATTCACTCTGATCAATTGAAATATCCACTTATATGGAGTTCAAATCTACTCTAATATCCGTTTCAGTTTTGTTGATTAAACAAGATATCTACTACCTTTTCAAGGAATTTTGTTTATGCCTGGAAAAATCTAAGAATTCTCAGAGAATTTGATCGAAAATCGTGGAATTTTAAACGGACATTTTTATCTGCAAGCCATATTATTGCATTGATCATAAACAAATATTGTAGGGTCGATTGAATTTTAATTAATAATATTTTCTTAATTAAGAATAAGAAAAAATAGTTCACAATTTTTCGACTTTTAATTTTCAAATTGTAATTTCAATCTATAAGGAATAGCGCTATATAAATTGTAGGTGCGAACTTATTAACATTTTGTATATATATATATATTGGGAGTACAAATTAGTTCGGTCCGTTTTCAAAAGATGGCTTTGGCTGTTGTGAATGTTTCATAGTGACAACTAATTTCGGTGGTTTCAGAGAGGTTAGACATCTGTCGATAATATTCAGTTTATATCGCTTTGAGTTTCATACAAAACTCCTGTTTTTTACTGTGTTGAATATGTCAAATTTTGTGTTAACTAAGCAGCATTTGCGGGAGGCAGGTTTTTAGTTTTCTGCTTTAATTGGAAGAAAAGTGCAGCTGAAGTGCAGCTGAAAAGTGCGGCCTTTTCCAGGTCGATTACCATCATGAGACATGACTTAAGCGAAAGCAAATTTAAAAAGGAATAAAATAAAAAAAATAAAAAAAAATCGAAGGTGGCGTACTTTGCGAAATTTCGATTTTAAACTTTAAAATCTCAAAATAAAGGTGAAAACTACTCCCTAAAATTTTATAAATATTTTTTTCAGATTCTACGGGAAAATGCTATAAAGTTACAATGGTTTCAGATTTTTTTTATTGGCACGACGACGACGACGAGAATTAAGAAACTGGTAGTCGAAGCAAAAATTCGAATTTTATGACAGCCATAGAAGCTCATGGTGTGGGTCAAAAAATCCGAAAAAATTCGACAAATGTTTTCTAAAATAGTACTACCGATTGCCATAGGTTTCGATCAAATCTAATTTTTGAGCGTATCCCTTTCACATGGAATGACCCATATATATATATATAAATTTATTTTTAAATTTTTGTTTAATATTTAAGTACGAGGGTGGATCAAATATAAACGAACCTTTTGCAAAAAAAACCATATATTTTTCAAAATCAATTCTAATTTATATTTTTCTTATTTTTCTACATAAAAAATCTTATCCCCCATTTTATCTATACACTTCTTCCAACGGTCTGGTAATTTTTTAATCACAGTATCATAAAAAGTTCGCGGACGTGTATCAAACTAACCGCACATGAACTGCTGCATCTCCTCGTTCGTTGTAAAGCGCTGTCTACCAAGGGCTTCCTTGAGGAATCCAAACATATGGAAGTCGCATGGTGACAGGTCTGGGTTGTAGGGTGGATGTTCTTGGACAGCCCAGTGCATATCGGCCAATTTTTGCCAATTTCTGCATTCAGCAACTTTGGAAACCAACGAGCCGACACTTTTCGAAATCCCAACTCATTGCGAATGATTGATTGCACACTTCCATAGCTGATCTGAAGTTCCTAAGAGATTTCAAGAACAGTTAAGGGGGAAACCTCCTTTACACGGTCGAAAAATACATGATTTTCACGAATTTTTTTCTCGGGTATAATAACTTGAAACGTTTTGAAATTTTTATGACAATTTAATACACAATCGAAGAGTACACAGGAATTTTTTCAAAAATAAAAAAAAGATGTTTACTATAAAAACGGACGCCATATTAATATTGCTTCGCTTATGGAGTGTCTCCGCTGTGTACACTATAGCGTCCTTAATTTTGATCTGAAACAAAAAACCAAAATTTTTTGTAATATTTATGATACTAGCTTCTATGTGACATTTCGATTTTTTAAAGAAAAAGTCGAAATTGCATGTTTTTACACAGTTTAAAATGGAAAGTGCGTTTTTCGTTTAAAAAATCGACTTTAAAATACGAAAAAAATATGAAAAAAAATTTTTTTTCAAAAAACNTTGTAATATTTATGATACTAGCTTCTATGTGACATTTCAATTTTTTAAATAAAAAGTCGAAATTGCATGTTTTTACACAGTTTAAAATTGAAAGTGCGTTTTTTGTTAAAAAAAATCGACTTTAAAATACAAAAAAAATATTTAAAAAATTTTTTTTCAAAAAACAATTAAATTCACATCGAAGAGAATTTAATTATCTTTCAAATGAGAGGTCATAAAGCCATATCGGTTAAGCAGATATCTTTTAATCGTTTACACAAAATCGAAAAAACGTGTTTCGAGAAAAACGCGTTTAAAGTTTTAGATGCATAAAAATACTACATATTCACAACTTACGGCAGTCTCACGCTAATCAGCGATTCCAGCTGCATAAAGTAGCCCCTCCGCTTTTTCGTAGAACTCGTTTTGAGCCATCATCTCCATCCTACGAGCCGTTCTTGCCTCTTTTGAGCTGCTATAGCTTCGGCGGGTCTGTCTGTTTATTCGCTTCTCGTCCTTCATTATGGCCAAATTGTGTGCCTGGATCTCAATTTCGATATCCAATTTGTTCATTATCATTAACACCGCATTGTAGCCTTCGTTAAATATCGATGCAGCAATATACGCAGCAATGCAAACGATTTTTGCTTCACTGTGAATGTGTTTAGGCCAGGGATCGGCAACCTGCGGCTCGCGAGCCACATGCGGCTCTTTGGATGTGAAGCTGCGGCTCTTTAGTTCCATACGCAAATATTATTTATTTTATCAAAAAAAAACATTTAAAAATCGTTCTGAATCAATTAACGAGAATTAGGCACCGATTCTATCTCTCAGCCACTTGTACTCGCTTTTCACCGCACCCTTCCCCCGTGACACGCGTCGTCACTGTAGTCAGTCCGTCGGAAGCTCTCGAATGACGCCGTCGTCGGATATTTCTATGTAGGTTTTAATTCGCTTTCCGACGCAAGACAATTTGGCGTCTTCACCAGTGCTTTGGCTGTGACGTATAGTTTGTTGTTTCAAGTATAAGAGTTAGAAGCGAATTATCTTCTCAAAGCTATATATATATCTGTTAAATCGACGATATAGCTATTATATACACACAAAAATACATACTGTATTTAAGTATTACTTGTTTCAAATGTTTTATAAGTTCTTATATATCCTCAAATATATCATAAACTCATAATAAGCATCAAATTTATTTAAAATATATTCTGAATCTTAGTTTAGTACTCCAATCGTAAGAATATTAAATTAAAACAAACTTCGATGTGTGTGTGCGTGCGTGCGCGCGCGCGTGCTTATTAAAATTAACCGAATTTAAGTTTTCTTCGATAAAATTTATAATACTCTTGAAAAAAAATTAATTCTTTCAAATATGCGATAAGCTTTATTCAAATTTGTGATAAATACATAGAAAAAAGTGTCAGATTCGAGTAAATAATTACTTCAAAGTCCTTAGCAAATTATTACTTGAATCAAGTAATATTTACTTGATTCAAGTTTAAAATTTACTTAATCCCAGTAAAGATGTGCTAAAGAATATTGAAGTGATTATTTACTTAAAAGAATCCAGTACTTTTTTCTATGTACATTTTATTATGAGGAAAATTCTTTGTTGAAGATAACTTAATTAAATTTAATTAAAAGAAGAAAACAAATAATCGCTTTTCTTAACAGTAGATTATTTTTCTCTACATGCTCTGTTGCAGAGAAATATAGAGTTTATGCGAGCGTATCGTTCGCGGTGCTGCTGCTAGGAGTCGGCCTGCCTCTTTGGTGGCATACCACAGCGGTGCCACGTGTCGCACTGCCCTACGCTAGGATCAATGAACTGTCACAGTTGGACATCAAGATCACCACAAAGATCACCGTCGCGGCGCTCTCGCGCGATCGCGCCGAGCTACTCGCGCATGAAATCAGACGGGCTTTCGCGAATGCTGGTGAGCGAGTATAACAAAACGCGAGAAGCCGCTCGTCATCGATCGACGAGATAGAAGATGCGACGCAGATTGTTTACGGGGTCGAGAGTCGCTCTCGTGACTGGCCCGAGACGCCATTTATATTCGTGATGTCGTTTTATTGTATGCACGAGATTGTCTTGACCGTAAGAAACTTCGTATGTTTACGGGCACCGAGTATAATCAATATTGACCTAAATATATAACGGCTGTCAGGAGTAACCAAGTGAGAGAAGGACCTCTGACCTATTTCATAGGCGTGTGAATTAAAAATTTCTTAAAAGTTCGCATAACCATGGCAACAATCTTGAATCGTGACGGCAAACCACGTCAATCGATGCTATCGTTAAATTAGTGGAGATAGAAAGATGGAGGAAGAGAAGGGACTCGGGAAGCCGCTATGATCCCGATTTACGTTTTTCAGAGATATACCGATTGGACGTGGAGTATCAGGTGATTTCCAATAACCTGTTAGCGTCTGCTTTCACGTATCACGAACTCGAGAAGGTAGCCTCGACCTTCGAGCTGGATATGGGTGGTCTATTGTTGTTGGAGGCGACAAATTTGAATGACGCCGTTCTAGTCGGCTCTAAAAGAACGCTATATTTCTCCACTGAAACTAGTAAGCTAATTGCCGGAACGATTTACCAGGTGTATGCATAAGTTTTTTCCGGTTTTTTGGTAAAAAAAAACACATAATTTTCAAGGGAAATTAATTTTTTTTTAATTCAAAATATTGGCCATCGGCTTCTACACATTTCGCCCATCTTTCAGGTAATTTATGAATACCGTGCCAGAAAAACTGCTTGTCTTTTGCGGCAAACCATTCGTCGAGCCATTTTCCAACTTCCTCGAAATTGCTGAAGTGCTGCTCTGCGATCGCGTGCCCCATTGATGCGAAGAGGTGATAGTCAGATGGCGCCAGGTCTGGGGAGTACGGCGGGTGCGGAAGGATGTCCCATCCAAGTGATTTCAAGGTGTCTCACTGGTTTTGCTGTGTGAGACGGCGCATTGTCGTGTAACAAAATCACTTTGCCATGTCTTCTGGCCCATTCCGGTCGTCTTTCGATTAATGCGTGGTTTAAATTAATCATTTGTTGGCGATAGCGTTGTGTATTAACGGTTTCGCCGGGCTTCAAGAGTTCATAATACACAATACCACTCTGGTCCCACCAGACACAGAGCATGGTCTTCTTGCCGAAGCGATTTGGCCTTGGTGTTGATGGACCGGCTTCACCAGGTGAAAGCCACGATTTTTTCCGCTTCGGGTTTTCAAAATAAATCCATTTTTCGTCACCCGTCACAATTCGATACAAAAATGATTTCCTTTCGTGGCGTTGAAGCAGCATTTCACAAGTGACTTTGCGATTTTCCATTTGACGTTCATTCAAATTGTGTGGGACCCATTTACCGAGTTTATTGATCTTTCCCATTGCTCGTAAACGTCTGCTGATTGTTTCTTGTGATACATGTAATGCTTCTGCTAATTGCCGTTGAGTTTGAGTTGGGTCATCATCCAATAACTCCTGCAATTGCTCGTCTTCGCATTTTTGTGGTCTACCAGAGCGCTCACTGTCTTTCACATTGAAATCACCATTTTTAAATTGTCGAAACCATGTCTCACATGTTCTAATCGATGGAGCGTGTTCACCATATGTTTCTACCAGCAAACGATGAATTTCAACAGCCTTTTTCTTTTGATCAAATAAGAAAAGCAATGCGTGCCGCAAATGTTTTTTTTCAGGCACAAAACTCGACATGATCACTGAACGATAAAACAAAGACGCTAGTTTTTGGCGGACTCAACTTGTGTGTGTTTGTAGTTTTAAATGTCAGACGAACAAAATGACGTATGTGTCAAATTAATACGCTGCGTACTTTTTGCTGGCGCCATCTCTTAATTAAACCGGAAAAAACTTATGCATACACCTGGTATTACCGATTCTATTCTAATTATACATTTGAAACACTTCAAGTCACTTCGAATATACCACGAAAGTCTCGAATAGACTCGCAAAAGCAATTAATTATTTTTTAAATTAATTATCGTGTTTAATTGATAATTAGTATGAGCCTATTTAATTGAAAACCGTTTAATTGACAATTGATTTTCATAGATTCAATTGAATATCGTTCTATTGACGATTGATTACACAAGCCTACAAGGTAGATACAAGAAGCAGAGTAGTGACTTCCTATCTAATTTTGGTAGCAGAATTCAAATCCGTCGGCGAAAAATGTCCATCACGTTAGGTTTTTGAAATAAATGGGGTGATATGTATTATCATTCGAATATAATTGGCCGTTTCCGGACTTTTAAACTATCTTGTACGTCTAACATAGGCAATTCCAACTAAAGTATCATACGTAAAAGCGTAAAAAACAATTATTTTATTATGAATTTTTTAAACATTATATAAATTTAATTTTAATATTCTCTTGCTACATAAAATGTTAAAATCAAATATCATATGAATCATGTTTACAAACATTTAGCATAGATCGGGTTTCTTCATATTGTATCAACTATTACTTTTTTAACAATATCGTTAAGGACTATCTGCCTTAACGATTGATATAATCGAAAGAAATCAAAGATAGTTTTTTTTTTTTCATCAAATTTACAACTTTCTCGTGCGCTGGTATCATTTTAAAATTCCTTTCGTTTTAGTAGTCTTAGCAGGCGTCAACAAACTATTTCAGATTGAATTGCTTCTATCAATCGTTAGTCGGCCTTTAATTTAATTCGCTAGGATTAGTTATTAATTATAACTAATCGATATTAAATGATCTTTGATTTCCATTGCTTATTAATCGTCATAAACAATCTTTTAATTTTATTCATTAAAATTAATCGTCATTTAGACGATTTTAGATGAATTCATGAATTCATTGAAATCAATTTTCAATTCAATTGAATCATATTTGTTCGAATCAATTATTCAATTTAGAAACATTTAATTGGCTGTGTATTTTTACAACTCCAACTTCAAAGTGTCTCGAATATTACTCGAAACCAAAAACTTTAAAATTTTCCAAATTTATTTCAAGATCCTTCCAGGAATATGCACATTCAAAATTCCTCTCGCGAGAAACTCGAAGAAATCTTCTTCGAGCTCGACTTGTGTTGAGACGATTCGGATGCTCATGATTAACTTGCTTAATAACCTCGAAGACAGACTCGAATGCCCATAATTACTCGAATCTGTCGGCCGGTCAATTGCTCCAGTTGATCTGCTGTGTCAGAGTCGATGATCCTAATTTATTAGGGTATCGCAACGATTTGTTTATTAGAGCAATTTAGAAATCGCCACATGGAACTTGATAAGTAATAAAGCGAGAAAGTTACGACATAAGTTTTCTCACGATATTCCGATGTTTGTTCGTTTATTCGTTAGAAACTCATTCATAGAAATCACCATGTGTAATTCTCATGGGACTCGAGAAACTGTGACTTGAGTTCTCTCATATTTCGATATTAATTTTGCAGCAGTATACAAATGCATAGATAAAATACTGTTCCTAGGTGCTAGCAAATTGGTGCAGGTGTTATCAGAATGGATTCTACATGACAAGTCGTTGGCGCTGACGAGGAACGCGCTCGCCAAACCCACCATGTACAGTTTAGACGAGGAGAACAGGAGACGATTCCCGGCTAGTCCAGCCTACGACATCCTGATTACCGTAGTGAATTCTGATCCTGAAAAGCTGAAGGTTGTTTGGGATCTCAAGATGGTAGCCGAAGGTTAAATTTATAATTAATTGTTCAACTTTTCGAGTCTAACGGGATTATATGCCCCGTTATTAGTATCTCTTTTTCTGACGGGATATATAAGCCTAATTTATAATGAAAACGTAATTAATGTTAATATACTTAATGTAATTATCAAACTACGCATATATATCAAAAAATTCATCTATGATTATATATATATATATATTGATTTGATTATATATATTGATTTTATATATATATATATATATATTGATTTGATTATATATATTTATATATATTTTAAGATTTTCGATGATTTGATGAATTTATGTGAGAGAAAGAGAGAGAGAGAGAGAAATTTGATCTCATTTATAAATATATACAAATATTTATATACATTTATTTATACGTTTTAAGATTTTATTTAGTATTTTGATTTATATTTTGATATATAAAAATATACCAAAAAAATATATATCTTTTAATATAATTTGTTTATATCTTTTACAATAAATAATTTTCATCTTAAAAATTGATGTCATTTCCATTTAAAAACTGACTTTAAATGGTTAATAACAAAAGATACAATGTAAGTCCTTAAGCTATCCAAGCTTCAGACTAGAATTTAATTTGTTATATTGCAGAGTACATACGACCATTCCTGGACGAGCTGTCGATCGTGAGTAACTTCTCGGTAAAGTCGCAGTGGCTGTACTTGCTGCCATTGGACGTGAATCCCAGACGGGTGCCCGACAGCAGCCCGAGTCGCCGGCACTTCGCCCTGCGCGAGAGCGTCCTACCGCAGCTCGTGACACCATTGGAAAAAAAATTAGGTACAACGTTCGCGACGCCAACGCGCATTAAAAAGATACGTACCAAGCGTCATTTCCTGCCTGACTGAATTTTAGCATCGCAGGTTAGTCTCCATCCTTGCATAAGCTTCGTCGTCTACACGGTGCCGTGTGAGAGCGCGCCCTTGCATATCTACACACGCAGCGGGCATAGATCGCGGACGGACAGTAACGTGGAGGCTTTTCTGTCCCCAAGGTTATTTTTTCTATTTCCGATCGTTAGGTTTCATCTTTAATATGTACATTGAAGAGATTGTAAGTATTTTCATTCGCATATCAAGGGAGCCCACACTCATAAATTTAGTATTTATCGAGCAACGTTACATTTTATTTATCATTACATTTATTTCACTTTCTATAGAATAAATAATTTGAAACAAAGTTAAAAAAGCAATTATATGTATACAATTTTACAAATATGAAAATATTATTTTTTATTTTTCTAATTAATTATATTTATTCATAAGTTGCTCTAATAGAGATGCACAGATAATAGAAAAAGTTATATAGAATGTCGAATTCTAATTACATTACTAATTCTTTTAACGAATTATTGTTATTGTACTCGTGTAATTACTATAGATGGGGCGGCGTAGTTCTGATCAATCCACCATCGGAGGCTTGTGAAAGCTCACGGGAGGACGAAATCGTTACCGTCGTTCCCGAAGAAACCGCAGTGGTGGGCACGTTCTTGGCGCAACTCAGACTGTTATTGGGCATTCCAGAATCGGTAACGACCTTTCGTATATTCGAAATAGTTACGCGAATACTTTACATGAAATAATTCATAATTTTTCTCATTCATCTTAATTATGAGAAAATAGTTTGGTTTTACGCTGCATGAGGATGATTTCAATTGTTTCGTCGGTGAGCACTGATGTACGAACGATATACAAACGATTGCAGAAGCCCATCAGTGGAGTGACGGCGGTACCATTGGTAGGATTAAAATCGCGCGACTGGGAGATCGATTCACTGTTGAGATTTCGCACCGTCGAGCAATTGACCTCGGCGAAATTGACCTTGCAATCATTGGCGCAACTCCTCAAAGAGATTAGCAATATCGTCATCACAGACATGGTGGGAAACAGGATCAAAAGCGCGCTCGAGTTGGTAGACAGGTCCGCGGTATGCCTGGAACGCGGCGACCTCGAGCGCAGCTTCCTCCTCAGCAAAGAGGCCTTCGTCACCGCCGAAGCGGCCTTCTCCGACCCAACGCTGCTGGCGCTCCTCTATTTCCCAGAAGATCAGAAGTGAGTAATAAATTTTAAGGATGTATTATCCATTAGTGGCATATTTTCAGTAGCGCATCAAAAGGATCACTCATAAATTTAGTATTTATCGAGCAAAATTACATTCTTATATATTTATTTCGCTACCTAAATAATAAATGTTAATTTGAAACGAAGGATTGAGGTAGACATATATACACAATATTATAAATACGAAAATATTTTTCATTTTTTTCATTGATACTATATTTATGCATCAGTTGATCTAATAGAGATGCACAGATAGAAAGAGGTATATAAATGTTTGAATACGTGTGTTTTTTTGTATGTGTTTCGAGTATTGCTATAAGTTATGAACATTACACCACTATATTTTCAAAACAAAATAACTAATAACTGAATTTATGTATAATGTCCGCATATTAACCCTTTTCCTCCCACATAACACAAATTTTTTTTAAACTTTCAACCTTATATGTTTTAATGAAAAAATCATGTGAAAATTTATCAAACATCATTTCTTATAGATTTTAATCTCCTCTTTCGAATGCCGTTGAGAAATTTTACCCAAATCGTAAGCCGGAAAAGTTATAGGCCGTTTTTCCGAAAAATTCACAACTTTTTCACGGTTTTTTTTTTAATGTTTATTTTGAGTTGGAAAAAATTTGCCCCCGCCATCGCAATCACTATAAACGGTGTTATAGATGTTNATAAAAAAATTTATATACTAAAAGTAACTATAATAGTACAATACTTCTCCAGTTATCTGAATCCTATTAGAATTTTTTGTGCATTTCTCTTTGAAAATTTTAAAATAATTCACATTTTTTCATTTGCAATCGTCGTTCAGTTATTATTTATACAAATCCTAAATTTAATTTTGAGTCAGTATTGCTTTACATAAAAGCTACAGTTGTCAGTCATAATCCTTGAACATTCAGTAAGTAAGCATACCGTACTTCATCTTTTCTGATGAGATCCGTGACAAGAAACGCTGGTTTACATTTATTTCCTTTTTTATGAAATAGTTGCACAGAAAAAAAAATTTTTATAGATAATTGTTAGTTTTTCTAAAGAGGCAAAAAATGTTTTCAAAAATGTTGTAAAACCGTTCTAAAAAAATTTGAGGGTATTCTTTGACTAATTTTAAGACATTTTTGTTCTTAGGAATTTTTCATGAACCTTAACAGTTTTTGAAAAAAAAATTCGCAAAGTTGAAACAAAAAATTTTCCCTTTCGGACGCCATTTTGTGTCCGCCATTTTGAATTTCGAAAAAATCCAACGGAGTTTGAAAGAGCAGACATCTATAACACCGTTTATAGTGATTGCGATGGCGTATGCAAATTTTTTCCAACTCAAAATAAACATAAAAAAAAACCGTGAAAAATTTGTGTATTTTCCGAAAAAACGGCTTATAACTTTTTCGGCTTACGATTTAGGTAAAATTTCTCAACGGCATTCGAAAGAGGAAGTCAAAATCTATAAGAAATGATGTTTGATAAATTTTCATATGATTTTTTCATTAAAAGATATAAGGTTGAAAGTTTAAAAAAAATTTGTGTTATGTGGAAGGAAAAGGGTTAATCTTTATGTTAAAGATTAATGTGATATTTCATAGTAGTTTTTCATCCAAATCTTACTTTTAGTTTAAAAGATATTAAAAATAGAAGTTAAAAATAGCACACTAATCTCAAGGAACACGCATAAAAAGTGCCAAGTTTAGTTTCAAATATCTCAGCTCTCGAATGGTCTTTTTTAATTGCACGAATTAGATAAGATTTCAATATATACGTTTCGTTAGTTTCGTCGATTTTTTATCACTCTTTCATCTTACAATCTCTTTTAAAATGGAATAACTTTTGATCCAGGTTCTAAATTACTGTCCAATTTTTGGTGTCATTTTAAGTGCAATGTAAACCAATTTATAATTTTTATTATAATTATTTCATTATTTCAAGTTATGGATGATACATCCTTAAAAATATCCCTTATTTCGATTCACGAATCGGCAAGTATGTATTACCCCCCCCCCTCTCTCCCTCCCACCCTCCCCCTCCCTCGTTCTTTTAATTACATTAGGGATCTAACAATTTTTACTATTGTACAGGTACGCTGTTTATATTCCCTTGTTCCTACCAGCGATGATACCAGTATTGTTATCGCTCAAGAATATACGAAGATACTACTTTACGAAGAAATAGGCAGTACGTAGGAAAAAAAAGAAAGAAACAAAAAGATATTAGAGGACCGCGGAGAAAACAAGAAACGGTGAGGATGGTTAATTGTGAAGGTCGAATAATGAAAGGCGTGTTTATCTGATTGATAACATGATTACGTGTATACAATCGTGCGATCGTTCGTTGCATTGGAGATCGTTTCGACCAAAAGTAACATATAGCAATAATAGACGTAAAATTTTCGTACAGTTCGTTTTATACCGTTTATAAACAAAGCTCCGTATAATGCGCTGTGTATAATTTATATTGTACGTGACATATCGGCCGTCTCATCATGCGAGAAACATTATCCGTTTAAGCTCTTACTCGCGCCAGTGAAACGCTAAAAACGCGATTATATAGCACCTCGAATAATATCCTTCTTCACATGACCGGACATAGTGTGCATTCACTTGAGACTGGCACAGTTAGTCAGAATCGCGTGATCTTCACGATCTATTAAGTACGAAAGTAGATTCTAGAGTGGATTTTTACTCATCGCAGAAAGGACGCCGAAGGAAAAGACGCGTGGAGGTAACGGTAAATTTTATCTGTTTTATTACGGAAAGAAAAGAATTTTCGACGAGAGATGTATGGATGTGTGTATATGTGTGTATGTATGTATATGTGTATATATGTGTAGTATGTTGTGTGTGAAAACATTTCCGCGAAAAAGAAAATTACATAATAAACGATTCTCTTTTTTCTCTCTTGAGCCACTTTTTTTCTTCATTTTGTTCGTCCGAACGATGAGGTCTCTGAGCGTCAAGCAACCCGCGGATATTAAATAGCTCTCTCTTTCTCTTTCTTTCGATACACACGCTTACATATATTTACATACGCATGCATACATCGCACACCGAATCGAAGGAAGACACGCGGGACTCTTCCTACAATTCTCACTGCTGCTCTACATCGACGGCTGCTGGAATTTTGCGTTCGTCGCCGTACACGAAAGTGCAACTTTATAGTCAATTCCGAGCACGCACTTTACCCTATGAATTACGCGGAGGCGCACGCACGCACCCACGCACACACGTATATCGTAATCAGCATCGCTAACATCACGCATCCAAAACTCCCTCGCATCCCTCCTCGATCAAATTTCCAAAGTTAATAATCAATTAGATCGTTAGAGACAACTACAGTCTATGTACACGTATATCAAATCAATCCTCAACCAAGTTACCAAAAGGTTACAAAAAGATTGCGAACGTTAAGTTACTATAAAAAAGAAAAAAAAGAAAAAAAAAGAGAAAAAAGATTGTATATGTCCATCTACCGTGAGAGACCGCTCTCCCCCTTCTTTTTCTTCGTTCTTCTTTCTCTATGACGGTTAAGTAAAGGATACGTCATTCGATAAGAGAAGAAGTATGTGCGACGATAAAAATAGCTATATAACAGTAAAACGGTTAGCTGCTCGATGCATTGGCCAGTATAAAATAGCGCGTACGTATACTCTTTTTCTTCTTCATATATGCATATATATATATATATATATAAACCGCGTTTGAACGAAGTAAAAATAATTGCTCTCGAGAAATGCCGCGTGTGTGCTCATAATAAATAATAATACCTCGGCGGAAATAAAATATCTTGACTTGCCTGTGGCGTTTCGCTCGTGCTGTTTCAACTTTGTCAAGAGTTTAAAAATAATTACAACAAGAGTACTAGTAATGATAATAATAATAATACGTAATATAAAGTGCTTAAGTAGCGTGAGGGCTATATCGATGGGATGATAACGATAAGATACATCGCGATGAGGAAAAAGTGTCTACGTCGTGTGTCAGCAACGACACAAATTGTGGCAATCGATAGTGGTGATTTTACAGTGATAACAATGATAACGCAGCATCGTCATCGCCATCATCGCACCTATTTGCGTTCGCGTGAATCTCAAATGGTAGCTGGACATGAGTTAAGAGTAAAAATAAATTAGTCGTTCGAACCGAGGGGCTACTCGCGTACGAAAAAAAAATAGAAAAAAAAAAAGGTAAAACAGAAAGAGCAATATTAAGTCAACAGGGACTTTGAACTAATTGTATCGCGTGTTGCAGAGCATCAGCGATATTCTGAAAAACAGGTACACCTTCGCGCGTCGCGTAGTCCGACAAGTACATCCTCCCCCGGTTGTAGTCTTTTCTGGCCTGTTCAGTCAGCTAAACAATAGTTAGTCAAAGAGAAAACAATGATTATATCTGCTGTCGCATTCGAAGAGGAAGATATTTAACCTTTTGAGTGCTGAATACTCCCGGCGCAAGCAATCCGCGTGGACGGCGCGCGCCTAGCGGTTTCGATCGCTGGGGACGGAATACTTTTTTCGCTAATGTGAACTCTGTCGATTGAATACGCAAGACGCAACTACTTGAATAATACAAGAAAGTTATTTTCGAACATTAATTATTTTAATTAATTTTATGTACAACGCAAACCACGCGCCGGCGACAGTCGAACCGCGCGCCAGGCGGAGCTAAACGCATATATGCGTCCATAGTTCACGCCGATAGCTTTCGCTGGACGCATATATGCGTTCATAACACTCAAAGGGTTAAGAATATAATAAGTGCAATAATAAATTTGATAGCGAATTCCATCACTTGCGCTACATTAATGGGATATCTACCGGATTGGTGCGCGCTGAAGACTGCTATACGTGAAGCAGTTGTTAAAAAAAAAGGCACTTTGAATGACTAAAGCCAATAAGCATTTTGAATGACTAAACCCAATAATAATATTGTCACATTATTTAACAGAATATATATTCTTTATTTCAACATCAAAGATCAGTATTAATAGTTGTTATTTGCAATTTGCCTTGAGATACTCAGATTTGAATCTAGAGTAAGTTTTCCAACTGAATCGCAATTAGATGTAAGTTTTTCAACTGAATCGCAATTATATGTATAACGTCGAATATATTATACAAGATGGAGCATTTTAATCTTACTTAAGGCTCCTAAGTAATCGTGTCATTGTCCTTGTTTAATGACATCAGAAGCGAGAAAACGCATGTCAAGGATTCTTGCATTTTACGTACAAATAAAAAGATATATTCACAAAATGATATTTGTGATCGATTCAATACACTTGTAAAATTGCTCGTGTACTTTTATTCGAACAAGCAATAAATAGTCGACATAATAGTCAATAAAATTAACATTGACAAAATCATGAGAAAAAAGATTAAAATAAATGGTTCCGTGTCAAACTAATTTTGCGGCTACCTAGGAGCCTTAATAAGTACTCATCTTTTTCTCTATACTTTTTACAAAAAAATGTTTCAGATAAAAATTTTAAGATTTTGAAGTGAAATAATAACCGTGACTGGCGTAAACTTTTGCATGGCATTTTTCAGAGTCATTTTAAAGTCAATTTCATTTTTATATGGAATCATATAGTTTTTTTTTTTAACATAACTCGATTCCTCTGTTCATTTTACGTGTAAAACTACGGTAAGATTATAGAAAAGTGAATATTTTCTGAAATATTTTACATTTTATCCTAATACATTTCCAGTATATGATATGAAACGTTTCGTCAAATATTCGCTTTTCGATAACCTCATCTTAATACTTTCGTACATAAAGATATGAGAGAAATCGATTAACAATACTAATTATATGCATAGGTGCATCGATACATTTATAAAATACAACGAATTTTTTCAAAATTTTCTTACAACGATCATTTTCATACATTATTCTACGTACGAGTGTTAAGAGTGTTAAGGTAAGGTGAAGTGATAAAAAATGAATACTTTACGAGATATTTTATATATTGTATTGAAAAATATTAGGATAATATGTAAAGTACCTCGGAAAATATACATTTTTCGATGATCTTACTCTAATACTTTTATACGCAGAATGAACAAAAAAAATCGAGTTATATTAAAAGAAAAATTGATTTCATTAAAAAAAATTAAGTGAACTTTGAAAAACGCCACCCAAGGATGATTCAAAGTATTATACTCTCCCTGAAAACCCTATAACTTTTGTCTGAAACATTTTTTTGTGCAAAACATAGGAAAAAAAAAGTTTAGGTAGAGACATTAAAATGGTTCATCCTGTATATGATCCAAGTACAATACTTCAATTGAACTCGAAACTCTGAATATCTTATGTGGGCCAAGTTTCAAGTAATGACTATTAATACAGGCCAAAACGTTTACGTTGTGCCATTATACGTAGACACTTGATATGTAAAGGTCTTGAGTGTGCAGTTTTTTATTTAATGTCTTATTTACAGAAGTTTAATGTTTTTTTCGTTATTTAGTGCTTTTTATTTAAATAATTTTTTTACGTATTTTATAGCAACCTTCAGCATGCACCAATCCGATGTAGTATAGGTGAACGAATACTTACTGTGAGACAAGAGTTAGAATTAATCTCACTAGTGAGATTAACACTGCTGAAGAAACTAGATTCTTAAAAAGACTCGAGAGATCGACTTGCACTTCCACGTCTCACATTCAAATTCTAGATCTTAATAATTCTCGCGGCGAATATAATTCATACCTGTTCGCCAGTCACGACGGTACCCTCGGGGAGAGTTTGAACACAGAGGACGAGCTTAGCGCGCAGTCCAATCAAGTGAGCTGCCAACGCCATGATGGCGATGCCGCGCGAATACTGCGGCACTATTAACAGGATCAGCCGCGAGTTCTTCATCTTTTGCAGTTCTTGCGGCAACAACTTTACGTTGTACTCGTTCAGGCTTGGTCGATAGAGAGATAATCTCATTGATCTGCGGAAGACCGTTCGAACATGACAGATGGACAATATAGGAGGATGATATAAGCAGTGAAATCGCGAATGATCAAAGTGCTCACTCTAGCAACGGTACGGCGGAAGATTCCAACCAAAACAGATCTCTATTGACGACACCGATGTAAATATCCCTCTTCTCGGGCTCCTGCTGCACGAAGGAATTGGTCCAATCTGGAAGAAATCTCGAGTCAATCTCGAGCGAATTCGGTATAAGTTCCGCTTCGTTCGCGACTGCACGCGCGAGAACTCTTCTATTCTAGTGACGAAAGAAGCGAGAGAAGTCTCGGAAAGGTGCGAGAAAGTGCGATTTTTCGGGAGGAGAAGACGGAGGAAAAAGAGAGAGAAAGAGAAAAGATAGTCAGCCAGTGATTGTCGAAGATCGTGGGAGATTGTTGAAAATCAGAAATACCTAGGAAACGATTAAAGGGATGTACGATAGCTCGACGTAGGAAATTCGAGGCCTTCCTACAAAATATATTCCATACTGAAGGTATCTCACTTTCGCAAGTGACGCCGTTACTCTTCGTCCGCGTCCACGACGACTCGCTGGCCAGGGCGCAAAACTGCTCGAAATTAATTCGCAGTTCCGTCGGGTCCCCTTTCGCCGGAAATCCGTCTATCAAGCTCCTGCACATTTCTGCGCGAGACAGTTGATTATTATCGCGCTGATTAACTCTATCTTTACGCTCAAATCGAGAGACGGGCGTACGCTAAAGGTTTAAACGTAAATATGACACACAAGTTTACCGGATTTGTTCACCGTGTTGAGCAGATCGGAAAGAGATACATTGCACATTGCGTTCGACTGCAACATCACCCAAGCCTGGAAATGAAAAAAGGGAAACTTGTATACGGAAGATCGAACGGAGAAATTTTTCACGAGAATTCTTCACGCAGCAAAAGTATGCCGTACGTACTTCCCCCAGCTTTACCGTGCCACTATCGTTAACGTCCATGGATTTGAAGATCTCTCGCAACGTTCTATAAAAAAAAATGCAAAACTTGTTGACAAATATATATAAACTGTAACTTTTACGGCTCAGATACAGTAAAAAGAATAAGGTATTAAATAAAGAGAGTCAGGAAAGGAGAATTAATATAGATAACCATACTAATTCATGATAAAGGAAAAGAACTAAGACTAACTTAGAGACTAGTTCACTATCGAAATTCTACTCCTTATAACTTGTGTTTATAGTGCTTAAAAGTTGACTGACAATTAATTTTCAAAATATCTAACGATCATCAATATATAAATAAAAATCAGTTTTTGAATCAATCAATAATTATCAAGGGAATAACAAGTGTTAATGATGACAATAGAAATTAGAAAATGTAGAAAATATAGTAAAAATAGTAATCTTTTAAAACGATCTTTTATTTTATTTTCTGTTCTTTTTCTTATGTGTTATAAATTTTAGTTTATTTCTAATATCTTGATCTGATATTTTAAGCTTTCGCAGTTTAAGTATAAATATTCAATTATTATCTAATATCTTATATATGCCTAATTCTCCATATTTAATTTCTTTCATTGTGTCTGAACTCTAACGTTTCTTTTTCCCCGTAGACGGTATGCAAATAGTATATTATTCGATTATGCAAACAGAACTTACACTGCATCTGTTCCATTTTGTGTGAGCGAGATTCTTATAGGTTTGATGCCATCCTCGGTGTGCAAGTCCGTGCAATCTTGTACGTTGATCTCTTCGCGCAACATCTGTATATACGACATACATATACATGTACCAGTCACTTTTCATTTGAGACGTTTGCCGAGAATCAATTCTACACCTTTTGAGAAAACAAACCATTGTCCACTTCTTCGGTGTTCAGTCATATAGAAAAAGGTAAAATCAACGAAATATGGCTTAAACGAACAAAATTTGTTCAAACGCAACGTTCAATCCATTGAACAAATCATACGGTTGCCGTATGATTGTAATGAGTCATCAATGAACTCACAAGGATTGCGATTTAGTCAGCAACTGGATCAACGCAACGTGTTATTGCACCAACACGTAATTCGTGTTCAGTGGACATAATATTTTTTTGAATAACGGTGACCGTCAATTTTGTCAACTCAACCGCTTTTTTCTCTCAATATATAATTCTCGAGACTTGCAAACTTTTCACCATAAAAGCTTTAGTCGAACAGCTGACTTATTAGTTCAAGACAAGGTTTTATGCCTTAAGTCTTAAATACTCCAATTGACCACAATGACTGTCTTGATATCTTAAATTTTAATTAAAAAGCCATTCTATTTGTAATTGATGAATAAAAAAATAAAAATATAATAATTTAGACAAAGATTTAGGCAGGGTTAATTTTTATTTTTCACTAAAAAAGTTAATGGCCTACAAAATTAACTTAATTAAAAATTAATATTAAATGAATATATTAAAGTTAAAAATTAATTATATAAAACCATCTGTATATATATTGTATAATTAATTTCTTAATCGTAGATTAAATGTATGTTGAATAAAGAAAACATAATCTATTCTAAGAAAATATCGACTGTTGCGCTCAGGATTCTATATAAAAAAAGAACACTCACGCTCAAAGAAACAAAAGAATTCTGCTAGCATTATTTTTTATTTTTCTTATTCTATATTGTAAGCAGCCCGTAATGATTCTGATTTCTGATGAATCTTGATGTATTATTTTAACTTGTATAAAAAAATTAATCAGTTTAAGATTACGCGTTTTAAATCAACTAGTTTAACACTAAACTTACCGACATTTCATGTATACCTAATCCTAGGTATCTTAATATAGAAAGAGATTTTAGCCAATTGGATAGTAAACAAAATATTTTTCTGGTGCTACAATAAAAACCCGCTCCCCGCTTTTCTATTTAGAAAGTTTGATTTACCTTTATGCATTTTCAGCACATTTTTTACAAATTACAGCATTTTGTATTGCACATTTTCCACATACGTATTTTTTACATTTTATACAAATTTTGTTAGTCTTATTGACTTTACAATATCTTATTTGACAAGATTTCCGTCCAGAAGAATCTGTAGTTGTGTTTATTATTGTTTTTGATGAACATTCTTTGCTTAGCTGTCTCTCCTTCTGATATTCGGTCTCAAGCTCTTCTGCCAATTGAAATAAAAATTCTTGCCTCGATATTTCTTCACCCGTCGTTTCTTTATATAAAATCCAAGCATTTATCCCGGCTAAATCTAAGATACTGAAAAATACCTATAAACGCCATCTTTGACATTTAGATTTTATACTATATTTTCTGGCCATTTGATCGGTTACATCTACACCGAATTTTGTGCTATTGTAAAATCTAATTGTCTCTGGTATACGGGTGTCACTTTTTTCAATTTCAACGGATGAATGCATTGAACTAAGTATCAATACTTTTTTATTGGGTTTAGCTTTATAAATTGAAAGAATAAAATCATTCGATTTGTATAATATTGTTGAGAAGCGTGTCATACTATCCTTTGCCTATCTCGCTAATTTTGGTAGCTCTCTTTTATTTCTGCGGATAGTTCCAACAAGCGTAGTTTTTTTTCAAGAAGTTTACTCGCTAATGACGCGCTTGTAAAAAAATTGTCAGCTGTTATATTTCTCCCATGGCCCGTATATGGTTCTGCTAATTTCAAAGTTACAAACTCCCCAAATGGGACCGATGATTCTCTCCCTTCATCTTTTCCCAAATATGGAAAGCCGTTTACTATATATACTTACTACTTACATCGGAAGCTAACCAGAATTTTATGCCAAATTTGTCCGGTTTGTTGGGCATGTATTGAGTAAATCTACAACGTGCTTTTGTAGGAAACAATTGTTCATCTATAGCAAGATATGCTCCTGGTTTATAACAGTTTTGACTGTTTTCGATAAATTTGTACCAAACTTCAGAGATCAAAGCGAACTTATCGTTTTGTAAGCGTTGGCTTCGTTGATTTTTGTTGTCAAACCGAATAAATCTCATGATTTCTGTGAAGTCATTTCGGCTCATAGTTGTCGAGAAAAATGACGGACCCCATTTCGTGTTCCATAAATATGATACATCCATATTTTTAGCCTCATATGCGCCGCGTGCATATAGAAGTCCAATAAATGCATATAATTTTGCAATAGATAAATTCCATTTCGTTTTCAACACTCGAAATGCCTCTAATTCCATATATTTTCTTACATGTTCAATCATGTTATGATCAATAATCAAGGAAAATGCTGACTCAACTCTGCCCTTTATAATATTTCGTTTAGCGTATCCTGTCGGTCCTGATATTTCCTTGAAAATATTATAAATCGGTGCTCTTCCGCGATTAGACCCTTCTTTTATTTTTTGCCAAACAGTTCCGTCCATAGCAGTTTCAATCTCTTCCTCATTTTTACTTTCGGAACTAACTATAAATCTCTTTCTTTTTTGTCTTCTTCGTATATTCAAAATATTCTCTTCGTCCGTATCGCTGTCAAATAAGTCACAATTATTTTCTGCTGTATCATTATCAATATCGGAAACTTCTTGGTCATCTTCCGAACAATCCTCGTCGATATTATTTATTTTGTCTAATAAATTGATATTCCTCGAATGTCTTGACATTTTTGGGGATGAATATACAAATGATAAAGTAAAAACTAAAATATAAAAATATAGATCAAACGGGGTAAAAACATTGAGACCAGAAATAAAAAAAAACAATTGTAAATCATACCACAAAATATTGTTGGCTCTGTTGACTTTGTCGAAACTATCACTTATACCACGTAATAATTTCTATTATACACTGTGAAATTTGGATGCTCTCTGTTCGGATCGCAAGACCGTACTGTCGTACAAATAACGCTATGCATTTGTTCCAATCGCGCTTTCCAAAGAATATAGTCGTAAATAACATGAATTTTTCAAATGGTCAAATGACCGTTCGTGGTAGACTAGACATGCTATAAATTTTTTTCGGAAAGTAAACAATAAAGAAAGTTGTGAATATTGAAAAATGGGTTGTATGTATATTATAGGAAATGTCAATAAGCTACATGGTAATAAAGTAGCGTTGTATACGAGAAATTCTAAACGAAATTTCAAAAACGGTCATTTGACCGCGCATGGTAGGTTTAGTGTTAAGTTAAAAGTTAATTCATTAAAAATTAACTGAGTCAAATTAAATTATTAACTTTTTAACTTATTATTAACTTTTTAACATAATATTTACCGAGCAACTAGTTATTACTCAATCATGGATTTAGGGCATAGAACATTATCTTAAAATTATAAGTCAACCATTTTGCCAAAACCCCAAACTACAGAAGTGAACATCGGCTTTGTTTCATTTCCAAAGCGCGGAGCGAGATCTATTACCTTGGACGTACAATGAAGGGCGACTGATACACTCTCGAATATCGGTATCCTCTGCCTCTCCATTAGGTACTGAAGTACTAACAAGCCATTCATCAAATCGTAATATTCTCTGAAATGAGTCAACAGATAAGAATAAAGTGCGTATTAATAACTGGACAGGGAGAACTACTACTCGCACGAGTAGTGCACAGTGTATACGAGATCGACTAACGCCGTAATAGATGAACGTACTGCATAGAAACAGTTTCTCCGAGTATAGTCTGTCCCTGGCGATATGGATAGATGACGAGAACCAGAGACTCGCTGCGCGTAGCTGCCAGTTGAGCCGCTTCGATGATACCGGCGCTATTGCGCGTCTGATTGTCGATCACGAACAGCAAGACCCGCGCCGTTTGTTTCGCCTCGTACTCCTGAGCTATCAGTTCCGGGCCCCATTGCGACACTTGCTGCGACACGACAATTCAATTATCGCCTCTAGCATGCGTATGAGAAAAAGATAAGAATGAGGTTGAAGAAAGATATATGTGTATGACTACCTACAGGATTGTAATAAGTAATTCCGAGGTTCTGAAGAGTCGGTATCGCTATGTCTGACCTCCAGGTGGTTGGATTGCAAGACCCGCCCAAAAATACCTCATATGCCATCCTCTCTGAATAATCAATGAGTTGAATTGATCGGGAGTCTTGTCTCGGGGGACGATCGATCGACGTGGGCACGCAAGGCGCACACGTGGACCGTACGGATCATATATGCTGACTTACTTGAGCCACTTTTGTGATTAGTATCCTTTCCATCACCGTGTAATGAGCGAGAGGCATTCATAGGAACAGCTGTTCTGAAGGTAAACAAAAACGCACACATGTAATACATTTTGGCGGAGCCACGTCTACTAATCCGATATTATCACACTCGAATCAACTGCTATTAAACGACTGCTACACACTTGTGATTTCATATATTTAAGAACGCTTCTCGCATTGTCCACATGCAATCGTTTGTGCAGTTCTACGTATCGCCGGATGAGTCACCGAACTACTTGATATGATGCGGAACTGATTCCCGAGATTTTGTCTGTGCACGCGACCCATACGCGGTGTATCATTGGCGATACACGTCACTTTCGTGTCATACAATGAAACATTTAATAATTGCCGTTCGCAGTAACAATGACATTCGGTTATATTTCAGATCATGGAGTTTTATATATATGACTCACACCTGTACAGCGGTATAAAGGCACGTCATAATTACGTAATTAGCAAACGGGATTTCATCAGAGTGTGGTAATAGGATATGTCAGGTGGTAACGGGCATAAATTGTTTGCGTCGAGCGCATTGCGGAATCGAAAACATACTTCCAAATATCAAATAATTTTGCAACGACCGCCATCGCATTGCGCTTCATCGTGGCGCTAAAATAGCACCCCCATCGCGATCATAATGAAACGATCAATATTTTCGCCTGCAACATACAGAGTTCACCCACATGACGGTGCGCATGACGAACGCGCAGCAAATGAAGTAACACAGTCTAAACTTGGCGCAAATGATAATCTAGCTGGAAGCCATTGCTACGTAAAGAAGACCGTAGTAGTACGGAACGTGGTAGCATTAAGAGTGCTGAAAAATACCTAGCAAAGTCTCGAACTTGTCAAATATACTCTAAAGTTATGTTACCCTCGCTCGCACAGACGTGCCAATTCTGTGGCAAATATACAGAATTCTTCGAGCATTATACAGGCATCAATACAATGGTGATTGGGACAGTCCTCAGCATCGTGCAGCTTGTCATATAGCTGCAAGCAGTTTGGAAACAACAGCATCACGTATATTTCTTGTATCTGAAAAAGTAAAAGGAGACGCATGTATTGTATCCTGATATATATTGCTGATTCAAAAATTGCAAAAGTTCTGATTCACTTACACAGGATATATAGCTGACTGTCAAGTTTCTGCCTGATCAATGTCTGGTGATAATTAATCCTCATTATATAAAATATATATGATCAACCTAAATGCCCGCTTCCAGAAGTATGACAGTGCCTGTATATCTCACAACTGGGAGTCCCAAGTTTTTCTGTCAAAAAAAAAGAGCCAAGTATTAAAAATTGCTGGCTGAAAAAATAAACTGCCTTGGTAAATAGCTAAAGCTAAGAAAATATTTATGCATGACCAAACCGTGACTGCTATACAGTTATTTCGCCTTACTTTCGAGTTGGTTAATTTATTTAAACATATAATACAAGAAGCAATTGAAATTTTCTTCAATTTTAACAATGCCATCCAATTACCAAAACAAAAAAGTGAAATAATGACTGTTTCTTGGTAGAAAGGACAAAAAGTGACACCTCCAACACTAAGATAGTAACAAGAAGTAATATTTTTGTCAAATTCTGAGAGTAACCAAAATCATTCAAGTAAAAAAGTAACATTTACTTTCATCTTTTCAGAGGGCTTATTTTTGGATGACTTAACATGTAGAAAGTTTACAACAAAGAAAGACCAAAAAGATATGAACGATATAAGTATACTTGCGAAGCAGTTTTATTAAGAGAGATGGCAAAAATACATACATATATAACACCTAACATTTTCCAAAGAACGACAGCTCAAGAAAAAACTACCGCAGTGACCCATTTTATATGATACTGAGTTTTTCAATGACTTGTCAGGAAAAAAATGATAAAAAGTGACTTAAGTGATTAAGGTAGCACTTAGATATATAATCATGCTACTAACCTCGACGACATTTTCGTCAGACATGCCAATGTGCTAAATGCTCGTCACCAAGAATGAGGATTCGTGTCTTCCTCGTGTCTTCTGGCAGAAGGTTCCCCCCCGGCTCTTACCTGAGCAAAGGATAGAAAGAACATTCAATGTCTCATTGATTTACATACCCACACACACGTACACAGCCGACGACCTCAATGTGATTTCGCGCACCATGATCTTAACATCGCTGTTCTCGCTTCAGTCATTTTAACGTCCCTATTAGTCACTAACATTCCTGAGAAATGCACGCTGTCACGCACCTGTGCACCTCGCACAATTTCGAGCGGCCAGCCGGCACGTGATCGAAGATCGCGCCGAAATCTTAAAAAAAAAGGTAAACTCACGGAGCGCGTCGGTCGAAGGAAAAGGCCCGACGAGGAAAGGCCGCCAAGTCGCCCTATCAACAAACGCGCGTCGCGGAGTTCACAGGAGCACAACACAACAAGCGCGTTCCACCTCTGCGCGAACCCACACCAGCGGAACGCACACGCAAGCAGAGAGACACGTACATACACACACGACCACTTAACACGCGACCACCTTGTGCCGCCTGGCCTCGTCGCTTCTCCCCGACGGCAATTCGCGCGAGATCGATCGATCGAGCGACAGCCGGGCCGCGCGAAAATATCGGCAACTTCAGTGATCATTCACCGTCGGTGCGTCGAGTGCCGTTGAGCTGCACTGAGCATCTTGTGCATCCGACAACACTCGATCATCGTCAATGCGCTCCTCGGTTCCTTCGAGGGATTCCGCCCGAACGAGTCTTCGTCCACCGACAGATCGACAGGATCGAGGAAGCGTTAATAATTACCGCTTTTCAACACGGTCTCAGCTCTCCCGCCTCTCGCGACGACGACGACTAGCTTGGAGTTAGCTGGCGCGTCTCGTCAGAGCCGCGCTCGCTCGCTCTCCCCCCACGGACTCACTCTCTCTCTCTCTCTCTCTCTCGTTTATCGGACTCTGTTTATATATTTCGCCTATCGCCCGTTCTATGTCCATCCTTCATCGACATGAGAACGCCACGGCCTACGCGAAGGTGCGCGCACCAACTAACCTTGATACGGTGCGTATCGTCGGTGCCGGAACCGCATACCCGCGGTACAAAGAAGACGACGACGCAGCGGGAAACAACGCACTGATAGTAACTGCGGCGCGCGTCACGCCGGCAGAAAAAGTCTCTCTCTCTCTCTCACATTTGTCCTCGAGAGCGTCGATCCAACAACAATGGGGCGATGCGCACCCCTCACTCATGCACTCATTCGTTTGCTTACGCCTGTTCTCTCTCTCTCTCTCTCTGACACGCGAGAGCGCGTGGATAAACAACGCGCGTATTCGCACACGCGGGGCCGCGAGAGAAAAATCAACGGCGATGGTGGCGCGAGGAGCCTCGCCGCGCACTCCCGCTATTGCTCATACTTATTTATACACCGTTATATTTAAAATGAAAGAGAGGCGCGCCGGCAGCCGTGTCGTCATGTCGAGCCCGCAGCGACCGACTGGCGATCGAGCTCGCTCGCTCGCACGTTCGGCTGAGGTAAGAAGGATCTCACGTGCAAACGACGGCGATCGATCATATTTTCACTGGCTATGCCTCGTCGTCCGCGATGCCCCCGTCGAGCGATGAAACGACGAAGTCGCGTGAAATGCGCGCTAAGTCGCGTTCACGCGAGGAAGATGCGAGCGAGCGAGTTAGCGGATATCTCGCTCGGCTTTCAAATATCGACGGGAGACCGCGGGCAATTCAACGATCGAGTACGAGAACACGCGCTCGTTCACATGTTCTTGTAACGGCTGGGCATCGCGAAGGCCGCGGTTGGCGAACTAAGCGGTTGTTGTTATTGTTCTTACAGGTAATTGCAGATGTGATGCTCGTCGCGTTCCCGATACGACGCTGACTGACGTCCGACGCGCACCTCTGTGATCGACGCCTCCGCGATTGACTGCGCGCCACGAGCAATGGAGCGAGCGAGCGAGCGATTGACTCTCTCTCTCTCTCTCTCTTTTTCTCTCTCCCTCGCTCAGTTCAACGACGACAGGGTGGGCGACATTTTATCGCTTGTTGTCTTTTCCGCGTCGGCGACAACGAGGAGCAGGAGGAAGAGAAGGAGGAAAAGGTGGTAGTGGAGGAGAAGGAGGTTGCTGCGAGCGAGCGTGCGTGCGTGAGAGCATACGAGCGTGCGTGCGTGCACCCATCGTCCCCGCCGCGCACCGACTCCGAGGCGGACTGGGGGAATGACGTAAACCTCCAACAATGAAGCGTGATGTCACACACGGTGAAGTTCGCACGGGCCTCTCCGGATCGCTCAGTGCGCTCGCGCTCCTCCTCCGACCTTGAATTTTGTGGTTGGCTCGACGCGTACCTAGCCAGCCGCGTGCGGCGGTGACGTCATCGGCCGTCGCAGTCGCGCGCGCGAGCGAGCGACGGTTCGAAAAATACTCTTCGCGAAGAAAAATCCGCATCGCGTGTGGTCACGATCGATTTTCAATCGATACCATCATACCGCCGGCTTCGCGGACTTTATTGTCTTGAGTTGCACGCGTAAGAAAGAAAGGGATAAAGAGAGAGAGAAAGAGAGAGAGAGAGAGAAAGAGAGAATACTTATAGCGATTGCGCGAGTGGCATGACAAAAATGGCGAATGATAGCGTTTCGTTCTCTCTCTCTCTCTCTCTCAAACATAATGAAAGGAATAAGGAATAAGAAATTAAACTTCGACATGTAAGCTACGTTCGATTTAGGCGTTGTAATCGTCGATCTATCTCCCTTTGGCATATAATGAACAATAAAAATAGAAAGACAGCGCGTAAATGGCCAAATCGAACACATCTATAGAGAAGCATCTATAGAGAAGCATGCTTCAATTCATGATAAAGAAATAGAGATCTAGAATTAGAAATACTCAAAATTCTATTTCTTATAATTTATGTGCTTATATCTCTGAGCAGTACAAATTGGTTGGCTAACCGTTTGGTCAAACGTTAGTCAACGGTTAACCAACTAATTTGTATTATTCGGGAAGGGCTTAGTAGTTGAGTAAAACTTAACCTCCAAAACGTTTAATGGCCATCAGAATGCAAGTGAAAATCAGTTTGAATCAATGGATAATTATAAAAAAAATGATAAAAAATATTACACAGTGACAGTAGGAGTTCATTAGAAAGTAGTAAAAGCAGTAATTTCCTTTTAAAACGTTCTCATATCTTATTCTTTATTCCTTTTATTCTGTTTTGAACCACAACTTATTCCTAATTCCCTATATTTAAGGAAGTTCGCTCATTATGTGCCATGTTTCCAGTGGCGCATCAAAGAGGCCTTTCATAAATGTATTATTTATCAAGCTAAATTACGTTTCTATACATTTATTTCATTACTCAAATGATAAATGCTAATTTGAAACGAAATTGAAATAAATGCATATATACAATATTACAAATATGAAAATATTATTTTTATGTTATTTTTATTTTTCTTATTAATATTATATTTATGCATCAGTTGATAATAAAGATGCACAGGTAACAGAAAGAGATATAACAATATTTGAATATGTGCCTACGTACATGTATTTAGAGTATTTGAAATTGTATTTTAGAGTAGTTGGAATTGTATTTTCAAAATAAAATTGTTAATTATGTTATTAAATAATAAATAAATAAAAATAAATATGATATTAAGTAATTCTGAAATTTTACATGATTTAGATATGTTAATCTTTTAAATTACAATAAAATTACAATTGTTTCCTAAACTTCTATTTTATACACAAATGTGTCAAATTAAAAGAAACTTGTTACGAGATTTCTACATGTTTATGCATACACAAGTTTATAATTAAATATTTCGCTAAAGATTATTGAAATTTCTGTTACGTACTGTTAGTTCGATTAAAATGTATATGTTATAGGTTTATCTTATTTAGTCAAATCTCCTTAACTCTTTATCCCTTATTCTTTTCACTATGACCGAACCCTTAAATTCTCCTAGTGGCGCAAGCGAGCGCGCGAGGCTTTATGGAAGCAGTAACGCGCGGATATTACTTTAACAACGTTATGTCGAAAGGGATCGGTCGCAAAAACAGAAAATAATACTTTCAAAATTTAGATCAAGATCCGAAAGATAATTGTCCATTCGGGCTACGTTTGTAATGTTGACATATTAGATATGTCAATATGTTAGGCGCATGTCTCCTTGCTTCTTTTTTCGTAACAATACTGCGTGACCTTTCACCGAGGCCGAGCTCGGGAAACGGGATCGATTATCGCCAGTCATGCTGAAATTTCAAGCGCGACGTCGCCTTAAGAACGGTCGATGACATCAGTCAATTCCCGATCCGTGTTGTCGGTTTTTAGAGCTTCTCTTCTCGCTCCTAACCTCGCTGCCGGACTCCTCGACGGAGTAGCGCGGTAGCATTTGGAACGCGTCGTCGAGCGCGCCGGCCGCCAACCGGCCAACATGAGCGCAAGAGAGCTAACGGCGAAGTAAAAGGGAACCAGCCGGCGCGCTCGACGCGTTTTTGATCAAATATGGTATGGGAGTTCGAGCGCGCGCTGGCGTGTCGACCGCTCTCGAAAATCGAAGTTTCGCGCGCGCGCGCGAACGTAGGCGCGCGTAACGATTCGTGGCAATGTGGAGGTTAGGTGGATAGCCCGGGAGGAATCTAGGCATGTGCCCACTGAGTACTCGGCACAGAGATTAAGAAAGACTCCTTTATTTCGTAGAGAAACACTACAACGCGTCTATAATAGATGATATATCTGTGATGGAAGTTCCAGTTTCATCCAAATCATTTTGACGGTCGAGATTCCAATTTTCTGTAATCATGTTAACCGTTTGAGTGCCAAGCGGCGCGATCGCGCTTCTTCTGTTCTCTTCTGAAAACTGCAACGCTCTGGGCTGCGAAGCCCATAATCACAGCAGGCTCGGTTTTTCTCGATGCACAACTTTACGGTGACCTTTCAATCTTCGGTAAAAAGAGATATGAAATGATTATTGCATGTAAGCTGAAAACAGCGCAATCGCGTCGCTTGGCAAGTTTCGACACGGAATAAAACAAGCGCTATCGCGCCGCTTGGCAAGTTTCGATCGGGAAATGAGAAAGGCCCGTGGCACTCAAACGGTTAAATATGATGTAATTTATGAGACATTGCATTACAATTGTAACGCGAAAAATCGTATTGAACTTACATTATGGGATNTTGCCGGACAGGAGACCAAAACCTCAAATCCCATCCAAACAAAAACTTGTGGATGACACGTATCATACAGATCATAAGAAAAATTTCGCAGAGATACCTGAAGATGATGTAGAAATTACATTTATTCAATCAATGGAAAAACCACATTCTACATGTAAGAAACATTCACATACAAAGAAACGTGACAGATGTAATATTAGTTGAGAATGATACAATTAGCGATGCTAATCAACAAAGTGTAGTTCCTTTTACAAAAGCAAAATTAAATAAAATTGATAAATCTGATAACAATATTGATGTGTGTAGTGTATCTGATAAAGATAAACTTTATGAATCAACTACCATTATGGAGGAGCCATTATCACCTGCATGTAAAAAAGACCCACATACAAAGAAACATCAAACAGATATATTAGTTGAGAATGGCATGA